CACTAGAACAGGACCAATCTTTGTTGAGTTGGTTGATAACCAACGTGGAGTCCCCGTACACCATGAGGCATTTGACACCGAGCTCGACGGCTATACAGAGACCATGGAGACATGCTTCGTATTTCGTGGCGTTATTGGAGGTCGGAAAGTGTATGCGAAGAACATACCGAAGTTTATCCTTGGTCGACGTAATGAACAGAATGCCCACACCAGCACCGTTGATGTTAAGGGCACCGTCGAAGTACATCACCCAGTCCTCGGGGCAAGTGGCGACAATGGGTTCTTGGATCTCGGTCTACTCAGCGATGAAATCAGCAAGCGCCTGTGACTTAATGGTAGGTCTGCTTCTGAATTAGATGGAGTAAGTGCCGAGCTCAATAGCCCACTTAATGATGCGGCCATTGGCCTCTTTGTTGCAGAGAATGTCCCCCAAAGGGAACTCAGTGACCACGGCGATCTTGTAATACTAGAAGTAGTGTCGGAGCTTGCGCGACGTAATCAGAATTGCGTATAACAGCTTTTGTACCTAAGGATAACGAGTTTTGGGCTCATTAAGTACCTCGCTGATGAAGTAAACCAAACGTTGCACCTTGTAGGCGTGCCCGGATTCCTCACGTTCGACGACAATAGCTGTACTGACGACGCGAGAAGTGGTGGCGATGTAGATCAACAGAGTTTTCATCTGGTCATGGTGCCATCATGATTGGAGGTTTTGTTAAGAACAACTTGAGCTGCTCGAAAGCTGTGTCTGCCTCCTCCGACCAGGAAAAGCGCTCGGTGGCCTTAAGGAGCTTGAAGAAAGGTAGCCCTTTTTCACCGAGGCGCGAGATGAAGCGGCTTAAAGCAACCATGCAGCCTGTAAGCTTCTGTATATCCTTGACGCATGTCGGCCGTTTCATGCTGGTGATGGCGGAGACCTTGTCAGGGTTAGGTTCGATGCCACCGAGATCTTTAGGCGGTGACGATGTAGGAGCGCTGACGATGTTTGCGGGAGGCGGGCGAGCTCGTTGGCAGCCACCGCCAGATTGGCGCTTGGACTTTTGAATACGTCGTGGCCGTCAACGCGGAGGAAATCTTCGTCGAGGTTACGATGGAGCGGCCTTCCCTGCGAGTCGAACTGATTGTTGCGAGCAGCCTCGGCCATTGCAAGAGCGCGTTCATTTTCACGGCGCTGCACGTGGTTGACGTTCCTATTTTCACGTGCAACACGTTCCTCATCGGTTTCGCCGTTCCAAGGAGGGCTGTTGATGCTGACGTTGAAGATCACGCCACCTCAGAAAGGCAGGGGAGGGATTTGCTCGGTGAAGATTTCGGCGAGGGTCTCCGTAGAGCCTTAGGATTCAGAGTCTGAATTCTCCTCTAGGATGGTTTGGATGGATGCTCCGGGGCATCGACTAGCGTGCAACATGTTGACTGTCGGCGGGAGCTGGTCGACGATCTGGTCAGCGAGAGGATGGATATCCCCCACCTGGTTGGCGAATTTACCCCTCAGGGCGTCTTGGTACGTAGCGGCGGTGTTGGCGAGCCCAAAGGGTAAGGCTGTAACCCCCGGAGTTTGCTGAGCAGCTTCCGATAGATCCGGATCAGAGAGTGGTCGGCGCTGAACGAAAATGTCTAGAGCCGATTCGGCGACAGAGAGGCAATCGGTGAGCTTTAGGCCGACCCGATTGATAGATTCGATCAGATCGTCATTGTTGATGTGCCTCCTCTGGTAACGAGGAAGCGAACGGCGAGTCGTTGATGAAGGCGACCTCAGAAGTGGATCTAAGATCAGATCTGCAGTTACAGGTGCGAGGGTGGTCGGCACAGAGCGAATCTGCATCGTCTCGAGGAGCTCTCCGACTCCGTCAGCGTTGATGACCCACGAGATGGATCTGACCGTGAAGATCTGGCCGGGCTGCGGGAGGGACTAAGAGCCCGCGGAAAAAACCATCTTGTTCGACGAGGAAACAACACGTACACCCTTACCTAGCGCGTCAACTGTCGACAGAATATCATTGGCAGTCCTCCGAGGGGTATCCCACGAAGGTAGATTGATCGGTAGAGGAGCGCGTGATCAAGAACAAGAAGGCAACAGAGACACACGAGTTATACAGGTTCAGGCCGTCAATATGACGTAATACCTTACTCCTGTGGTCTGTTGGTTTGTATTAGCTATCGTATGATACGCCGTGATTTCAGAGAGGGTCCCTGCCCGCCTTATATAGTCCGGAGGGCAGGGTTACAAGTCGGTTAGATCTGAGAGATAACCGGAAAGTAATAACAGATTACAAGAATCATGGGATCGTACGTATCCTAACAGATCTCGTAGTATCTTCAGGATATCTTCCTTATGTCTTGCAGGAGGCGCCGAGCAGAATCGTGCCCCGTAAGGCTTCGTCTTGTGGGCTGGACCGCCCCTAGGCGCGCAGCCCATGTGGTCTGTCGTGGGTATCCGGGGTCTTATCCCCCACACTAACCCTAACTCTAGATCTGTCTTCTTATGTCTCTGAGACTGAGCGACTGACCCTAGATCTGGATCTCTATCTCTCTGACTCTCTGTTTTTCTCCTCCGCGCAGGTCGGTTGCTGATGCCTCGTCCTCTTCCTCTTCCTATGGCATACACCGGACACGGCGGCCGCGCGCACCGTTGAGGAACGGTGCTAGAGATCAGCCGTCTGCGGTCAAGGTCGCCATGGCGGATGATGACGATGTCGTCTATCCACTCACCGGCAACGATGACCTGATCGTGGTAGGGCTGGTCCCCGAGGACGACGATGACATCCGTGACGACGCTGCTGCGTTGTTGAGTATCGATGTCGGTAGCGGCTCTGCTCCGATAGATCTGGACGGTGGCGACGTTGGTGGAGGGGTGGCGCCGGCGCCGTCAGCGACGGCGACAGGGACGCCGATCGGCCTTTACAGCACAGATGGTATCTCATCTCTTGGTAAGCGTAAATCTGGTGTCTGGGTTGATTTTGATGAGATCTATGAGACTGTGAATGGTTCAAAGATTCAAATTGCTGCTATCTGTAAAATATGTGAGAGTAAATTGTCCCGATCGGCCTTTACAGCACAGATGGTATCTCATCTCTTGGTAAGCGTAAATCTGGTGTCTGGGTTGATTTTGATAAGATCTATGAGACTGTGAATGGTTCAAAGATTCAAATTGCTGCTATCTGTAAAATATGTGGGAGTAAATTGTCTGGTAGATCTTCTGCTGGCACTGGCCATTTGATTAGGCACCAGAAATCTTGTAGGAAAAAGGCTGATCACGCTACTAGGGTTCATTCTAAGCTTTCTTTCAATCCTGATGGATCTGTGCATAACTGGGACTACAATCCTACTGTTGCTCGATCTGAGTTGTGTTGGTTGATTGTTAGGCTGGACCTTCCATTAAGAACTGGCTGCACTCTTTTTTCTTTCTTTCTAGGGTTTCTCACAAAGGCGAGTTTTATCTAGAAATTTTTTTAATGAGACAGTATTGCACTAAACAGCTTATTTTGGTTATTTCTGTTATGTGTTGGCTTTGGAGTTTGTAGTTTGATATCTCTGTTGGACTCTGAATGTATTGGACATTTAGATTTTGATTTTGTGAATGTATGAAACTGTGATCTGTGAATGTATTGGACATTTCGATATTGATTCTGTTTGATTCTGTGAATGCAAGGGTAACGAGCCGTGCCCGTAATTTTGGTCGTGCTTCACGAACCGGCACGGCATGAAAAACAGCCTATAGTGCCATGCCTGGGCCAAAGGCCAGGCCCGTGGCCCTAAGAGGCACGGCCCGGGAGGCCCGACGTGCTGTGCCGGCCCAACCCCTATGGGGCCGTGCTTTCCCGGGCCCGTGTCGTGGCGGGCCGGGCCGGCCATCTATATCCGTCCCAACGGTACCATCTGCCCCACGCGGCACGCCCCCGCTCGGCCACTCCTCGTCTTGTTGCCACCGTCACCAAGCCCAGAATCCGAATACCCTCTTGCTCCGCCCCCCTCCCCCTCCTCCGGCGGCCGGCGCTGACCGCGTGATCCTCGCTCCGATGGCGGGCACCTCCACACCCGCCCGTTCCTCCGCACATCCGATGGCGGCCACATCCACACCCGCCTGTTCCTCCGCGCTCTTCGCTGCCGGTGCGCGTCGTGCTGCGCGTGCGCCCGTTCCTCCCGTCGGAGGCCGCTTCAGCGACAGCGCTCTGCGTCTCCCTCCTCGGCTGCCACCCCGGCGGTGAGGTCACCGTCCAGCTCAAGGACCAGCACACCAGGTACGCCTAAACGCCTCCTCAGCGTGCGATCTGGAGCCCTCGTACTTGTTCCTGCGCTAATTGCGGGTCATCACGATTGGTAGATCCATATAACCTACCAGGAATTGGTGAAGTGCTTGCATGGAAAATGGATACTCCTACCTAGGTTGCCTTGTTCGTTTGATCCCAAAACAAAGGGGTTTGGGGGTGTTGTTGACTTGTGGGGGAATCCCTTGGTTTTGGGATCAAACGAACAGTCTCAGCACGCAATCACATTTGCTTTCATTCTCCCATGTTTGATTGCGTTTCCTTATTTGCTTTGGTGTACTGGTCCATTTATGCAATCGGAGTGAACTGTGCAAACTGGATGCGTTCTTCTGTCTAGAGGACAGCGTGAGCCAGATATTTGACCAGGAGGTTCGCGCAGTGATCCCAGGCATCTTCGAGGGGATCAACGCGACGGTCTTTGCCTATGGGGCAACCGGCAGCGGCAAGACCTACACAATGCAGGTGCCCACTATTATCATGACTGCAATGTGTTTGATTAAATGCCACTTTTGGCAAAACAATATTTCACTGAAACCTATCTGAGTGGCTGCTGAACAGGGCACGGAGGATTTTCTGGGGCTAATCCCATTCGCTGCTTCAACCTCACCCTGTTCGCTTGGCTTATAAGACGTACTTTTTCAGCCAACGAACAATATTTTTGTCTCACAGCAAATCAGCGAACAGTACTTTCAGCCATGGCTTATCAGCCAAGCGAACAGGGCATGCTCTGTTGAGATGTCGTACTATGAGGTGTACATGGAACGGTGCTATGATCTGCTGGAGCCTAAAGCAAAAGAAATCATGGCCTTGGATGACAAAGATGGTAACATGCAACTGAAGGGCTTGAGCTGGGTAATGTGATTCTGCTTGGTGATTACTGAATGTGTTTGTTGGAATTCAATCGGTTGCTTACTGTTGCCCTTTGATGTTTGAAGGTCCCTGTGCGATCCATGGAGGAATTCGAGGAGCTCTATTCCATAGGCGTGCAAAGGAGAAAAGTCGCCCACACTGGACTGAATGATGTTTCCAGTCGGAGCCACGCTGTGCTCTCACTAAGGGTCAGCACTGGTGTTGTCAAAAGGAAACTTAACCTCATTGATTTGGCTGGTACATCTCTTTGGAAGTCTGGATTGAAGCACACATGCTTAAGCTGTATCCCTCTACTTGAACTCATGTTGTGCTTGATTGTTGTTTCTAGGTAGCTAAGACAACAGAAGGACTTTGAATGAGGGTATCCACCTTCAAGAAAGCTCCAAGGTCAACCTGTCATTGTTTACATTGTCCAATGTATTTTCAGCTCTAAACAAGAATGAGCACCGAATTCCCTACAGAGAGAGTAAACTAACCCGCATACTTCAAGATTCTCTAGGAGGCAGTAGCCGTGGTGTGATGATAGCTTGCCTGGTGACTTTTCTCAATCTTTTTTCTTATGGATGTCTCATAATGTAGAACTTGGCTAATTGTTTTTTGTTGTTTCAGAATCCTGCAGAATACCAGGAGTCAGCCAAGACAGTAAGTCTGGCTGCTCGTCCATGCCATATTGAGACTTTCACCAGTTCAAGCAAGCAAGAAACTCCCAAGGTCAAGGTTGACATGGAAGCCAAATTCCGAGCATGGTTGGAGTCAAAGGGGAAAACAAAGAGCATCCAAAGAATGGATGGTCTTCTCTCCCCAATTGCCAGCAAGACTCCATTGTCTATGAGCCATATGAAGCATCCAACATCTTCCAGAATTGCTTGTAGAGCTAAGGCAATGGATCAGGATGGTGATAAAATCAAGAAGTTAGTATTTTTTATCATTTCCTCTTTATATATTACATGGAACCATACATAGTTCTTATTTCTTTGTCTTCTCCTGCACAGGATGCTTTTTAATCCAGAAGTCCATGTTCCCACTGAAAATATACCACGAGATCACAGGCAGACAGAAGTAAATACACCAAAGAAAGGTACTTTAGAAAACTTCAGGAGTATTATATCTGTGTGAAATAGTGGTTACAAAATCTGAAAAGATAGTTGAAATTTACTCAGAACAACCTCTGAGATTTTTTACCTGTGTTTTCATGTGTGAATCTGATGTCTAAAGGCCTCGAGATTTTTGACCTGTGTTTTCACGTGTGAATCTGATGTCTGAAGTCTTATGCAGTGGTGCTTCCTTCAGTTACTCAATGCCATGAAAAACATGAAGCTTCTCTCAGGAAAGCTCTTTCTCCAATTTCTTCAAACATGGTGCCTGTGAAGCAGCAAATATCTGATAATGGCAATTGCCCCATTTTATTGGAGCCCCAAACTCCAATAGAAACACATAACATAGTCAAGGAGACTCCTGGTGCAACACCACTAGAGAGACTTAATGCGCTACAGTCTAACTTAAAGGTCTGTACGGTTCTCCTTCTCATTCTATAGACAAGATATTTGCTACTTTAAGATTCATCAATTGACATTATGACTTTTTAGGAAGCTCTTGTTCAGCAGTACCTTGAAGTTTTAAATGTTGCAGACAAGTAAGTCCGAATTCTACAACCTTTTTTGTTGGCACCCCAGTTCCAGATTTTTATTGAACTTAGCTTTATTTGATTGATGCATAAAATGGCGGATGCTGTACGTATTGCTGAAAAGTGGCTAAAATAGCACATGGGAAGCAAAAATGCAATGGATCTAAATTGCATAAACCCCCCTGTATCTGAAAAAGGCACTTTGATCACTCTAACTTTTAGGCTAATCTTTCTTCGCTAGTATCTTGTATGCCTACGGTGTAGCTTCACCGTGACAAAAAACATGGACATGTCAGTTATGGTTTGTGAACATCACAAATTAACTAAGAGCTTGTTTGGATACCCATGTATCCATCTCAAACCATGTGTGTTGGAGTGGTTTGGTATGGAATTTAATTCCATACCAAACCACTCCAACACACATGGTTTGAGATGGATACATGAGTATCCAAACAAGGCCTAAGGATCATTTACAAACATGACCTGACATTTTGGGTGTGTGGGTGGGGGGGGGGCTGCTAATCCAGTTTCCTAGTTTTAAGTTCAAGTAATTTGCTCCCTAGGTGTCAGTTCAAAAGAGAGGACAAGCTACATTTCTTCACATGAAACTTCAGCAGGAATCCTGCCATTCTTCATTGTTATTATGTTATAGTCTGTAAAACTCTGACTATTGGCTTGTCACTATAGCAGGATACATGAACTTTCTGTTCCTAGGTTGACCTTATGTCACAAAAAATATCCAGTTTTTTCCAGTCTTTCTTTCTAATGTTTCTCTCCCTTTACCTTTGACTGCAGGGAAGAGCTACAGCAGCTGAAAGTATGATCCTTTCATCTTAATAGCATTTCGATCACTGATGTTCCAGCCTTTTCTTCTGAGTAACTTCCCCTCTTGTTTGCTAGGGAATTGGCCCGAAGAGAGCAGAATATATTCTGGAATTACGGGAGGACTCACCAAGACCGTTCAAAACTGTAAGATTTTTGTAGAATGTGAAATGATCCAGATCTTTTTTCCAAAAGAAAAAAGGAAAAAGAATCCAAATGTCTGAAATGGCCTTCTAATACAATTTGCTTGTCCAGCTTGCAGATTTGGAACACATCGGCCTCTCATCAAAGCAGGTGATTTTTGTGTCATCTGTTAAGGCGAAAGGCATGCATCTCAGGCGAAAGTTATATACCGCTTATAATTCCTTTGGCTTTCTTGTTCGTTTTGCTTGTAGATCCAAGACATTCAAAAGAAGATGGCGGCCACTGGGATCTTCAAATGATGACCTAAATGGATGCTGTATTGGCGCTAGACATCCATATGTGGACGGAGAAGTTAGTTCAATCTTTCTGTTGGTGACTTCAGGCAGTGTCCTGCTGCTGCTTTCAACTAGATTTCCTTTAAGCGTGTGTGTAGAATTGCAGTTGACGTGATGAACAACTAAACTGTCGGAGTTGTGCTGCTACTTTTACGTCCAGCAAAGTTTTTATGAAACGAGCTATTCGAACATTTTATATGATGAAGTACAGTCTTTTGCTCATTTGATAATGATGATAACATGTTTCGCAGGCAGAGTTTTTATCATTCGATAACGATAACATGTTTCGCAGGCAGAGTTTTTATCATTCGATAACGATAACATGTTTCGCAGGCAGAGTTTTTATCATTCGATAACGATAACATGTTTCGCAGGCAGAGTTTTTATCATTCGATAACGATAACATGTTCCGCAGGCAGAGTTTTTATGAACGAGCTATTCGAACATTTTATATGATGAAGTATTTTTTTGAGAGGATTTTATATGATGAAGTAGAGCATCACTTTTGCTCATTTGATAATAATAACATGTTTCGCAGCCACCCAACTGACAATTGAAAGTTGAAAAATTGGGGAAAAAATGAAACAGGAAAAAGGTCGCCCACCGTGGGGCTCGAACCCACGACCACAAGGTTAAGAGCCTTGCGCTCTACCGACTGAGCTAGACGGGCTTCACGTTTTTTATCAGTTTGTTATTATTTTATTTACTTATTAATGTCATGTTCCCTTCAACCAAAGGATTCCACCATCGAAAGAAACGGAGTAAAGGGCAGACATGTTGCATTGTAGTACCACTTGCGGTACAATCGTTTAGCACACGAACTAGCGCCGAAATTTTGCCGTTTATGCAGGGAGACAGCTTGTTGCATGGAGAAAACATCAATCCTTTTCTTCGGCCTACTGCCAAGTGGCAACAGTCCCTTGGATGTGACGCCATTTAAGCATAGACTGTCATCCATAGATCTAGGTACTAAACTTCTAAAGTAGCCAAGGCACATTGAGTATATACTAAAACAAAAGCCCCATAATGTTCATTTGAACCTTCTTTATTTTCTTGACTTGATGCAGCGCAAAAAAATCCATGCAGTGTGCCCATGATGATGTTGACATGCCTTTGTTTTTTTCACTAGCTTTGCTACTACGGTCTGATGAAGTCATGAGGAGTACAAGAGACGTTTAGACGTCGGCGCATAGCACGCCGTAATTCACGTACCTCCTGCTGCTTAATTGTCCTAATTCACGTAGTTCGTTCGCTTGGCTCCAGTGGCCTACGATCGTATCTCCGTCAAGATCAACAATGTCTTGTCATCGTCCGCGTCGAAACGGCAGAAACCCAAGCGCTTTTGGAAAGCCCAAAACCAAACGATCCCGACTCGACTCGTACTCGTACTATCGTACCGGTGCCCGGCGGCAACCGCGACCGCGAGTCGACGCCACCTCGCCACGCCGCGCTCGGTCGGTCACGCGCCGCGCACTCGCCCCGCTCGTTCGCCTGCACGCGCGCCACCTCGTCCTCCTCGCCCCGCCCGCCTCCCTCTCTCGACTCGCCCCCCATTGCGCGGCGCGGGCGGCAGCGATCGCGCGCGGGGGAGGCCTAGACCTAGCTCCGAAGGGGGCACCGACCCAATGCAGGGGCATGCGTACAGCCGCCTGGGTAGCTTCGGCTCCGCGGCGAGCGCGCCGTCCCCGGTGCCGGCTGGGGCCGGCGCCGGCGCTGGCGGGGGCAGCCGGACGCCCGCGAAGGCGGGTTCGGCGAGGGGCATCCCGGGGGCCGCGGCCTCGGCATCGGCGGCGGCGCGGGCGGGGGTCGCCCACCGTGGCGGCGGCGGCGGCGCGGCGCGGAGGGTGGCAGGGCGGTGCTCGCGACACTGCTGCGGAGGCAGGCGGTGTTCCTCTTCGCGCCGCTGCTGTACGTCGCCGCGATGCTGCTGTACATGGGCTCGCTCCCGCTCGACGCCGTGCCGCGGATAATCGCGCGCCAGCCGCCCGGGTCGGTGTACCGCAGCCCGCAACTGTACGCGCGGCTCCGCGCCGACATGGACGCCGACAACTCCACCGGCGCGGTTAGTGCCTCCCTCCTCCTTGCACGTTTGTTGCAGCGTTTTGATTTTGTTTGTGGGGCTTGCAATGTGGCACAAATGTTTGGCCGTATTGATCACAGAATGGTTGAAGCATGATCGAGCTTACGCATAAGCAGCGTAATGCTTTTGCATATGGTGGTCGAGCTGAGATGGTGTAACGTGCTCTTTGGATTATTTTAAATGGTGTTGATCAATCTGAACTGGCACCTGGTCGTCTTCTAATAGTGAGGAAATGGGTGACAGTGGACATGTGCTTGAACCGTGGGTTTTATATTGTTATTTACTTGTTCATCAGTTCATGTGATTGCTTTGTGTCATGGGATGACATGAACGGCCATTTTGTCCCATCTTCTGAAACTTGATTCAGGTCGGCATGCTGTTAGAATGTTATTGGTCCTTGTTATATTGCAAGATCACTGGTTGGTGTAGTCAAATTGTCTCATCCAAATTAGTATGTGCTTATCCTGCCCTTTGCTCTTAATAAATACAAAAAGTGTGGTTTCTTTATTCATTATTACACCATGCTCTCATAAGTGATGTTCGTTTTGCTTGCCCTCGTTGTCATGGAGAATATTTATTAAAAAAAAGATTCACAGTTTCACACACATAATGGGATACTACACAAGGGAAATCATGTGGCGCTTGAAACCAAATCTGATACACTCATGATCAAGAAGCTCCAGTTGCACTTGCACCACAACAAGCAAACCTTGCCTGCATTTCTGGTGTTTAAGTGTTCTGCATCTTGTTTGCTGTCGTCTTCACTGCCTTTTATTCATGTATCACTTACAACATCCTTTTATTATGTCCTCAAATGAAACAATGTAACCATGGTTTGACAGACAAAACAAATCACTTTCAAATGATCCGGTGCAAAATATGGGTGAATGGACAAAGAAACTGAATTCCAAATGAACCAAAGTAAAGTCCGGTTGAGTGGACCAAAGAAATGAATTTCGATATGCAATCTGCTGAAACCTGTTTATGCGCATGGGATACAGTGCATAAATGATGAAAAGATAAAAACATCAAATCCATCAGCAGATAGGCCTTTCCTTTTATTATGCCAAGTGGAATAAGAACATTGAGTGAGTATATATTTGCATCTATTTACATCTTTCATTACAAATATCCCACAGAAGATATTAACTGGACGGCATCCAGCAATGAGGTAGAAAAAAGGCCCTGTACTTCTGTTTCCATGTTTTGATGATTATAATTTTCTGCTTCTTATTTGTGTTAATTTTGCATGTATGCTTCTTCCTCTCACGTTGTCATATTTTCTAGCTAGCAACTGTATGGAGGCACACTTACAAAGGTGGCACATGGCGGCCCTGCATAAAAAACGTGACAAATGGTATGCCACTTTCTTGCCGTTCTTCCGTTTGTTTGGCTCTAGACTAAATATTGTGCATCAGATGTGCAGATTTCGTGCACTTGTAATTTCTAATTCTTTTTGTTCCTTCTAACGTCTTGTTTTAAGGTACTTCTAATGTGTCTTTGATGCAATTCAGGTTATCCTGTTTCCTTTCTGATATGTAGATTGTAAAACCCCTGAACACATTCATATTTGTGAATGGAAGACTTTTTTTTTCTTGTATTTGATCATTACAGAAGTTAATTTACATGGTCTTATGTTTTGATTTTAGCAAATGTCCTGTTGTTGCACACAGTTACATTGTTATATAGAACTGCAAACGGGCAGACAGGAATTCTGCTACTGGCCTACTGCTTATTATGCCCCACTGTTATGAGTTTATCAATTTTTTTTTTTTTGTTTTTTTTTGTTTTTTTGGAAAAGAGCATAACTCTGCTTTTAGAAAGCAATATCTGGTTACAGAACAGCTGGGGTTGCCAGCTTGAACAAAGTGTAAAGGGGTGACAAGCCAAAGACCCTACTACAACAAAGCTAAATTTCATAGATGTCATAATGAGTTTATCATACAACTTACAAGCAGGCAGCAGCGCATATTGGGGCTATGATTCTCGGCATATGATTGACAAGTGTTTATGATTAACTGATCATAATTCTCGGCATATGATTGACAAGTGTTTATGATTAACTGATCATCTTCCTCATATAAAACTTCTCTACCTTATATGATTTGTTTTTTTACCAAGTTTACACTTGGAAGAGTCAGATGCATTACCACCTCCAGTGTTTCTGTTATTAAACTCACAGTGTAGAAATTATTCAAATTGTATGCAAGATATTTTATAGGCTAGTTTATTTGGACAAATGAAAATTCACCCTTATATTATCCAATTTTAAAAATCTTTTCAGGATATACGAAAATTTAGAGGTTAATGAAAGTGTCATTATATCACTCTCTGAAGGTGGAAACATCACTTTTGTTTCGTGACTGGAATTAGTTCCATTTAGAAACTTGCATATTCCCCCTGATCTCTCTCTCTCTCTCTCTCTCTCTACATTGGTAATCGCCTTAATTCAGTGTTTCTTATTACTCCTGATATTTTATATTTTTGTTAACTGCTATGTGGTATCTTCAGTTACTAACTCATGCCTCTATTTCTTTTGTTTTTTCTGTTTTTTCAGATATGCAATGTAGTCGCCATTGCTGGTTTTCTGAATGCTACTCTTATCATCCCAAATTTCCATTTCCATAGCATTTGGAGGGATCCAAGGTGCATTCCCCACCTCTCAACTCAAATTTGTATTAAGTACTGGAACATACCATTAACTCCTGTAAGCTAAATGGATTCCCCCCCCAGTTCATGATGTAAAACCATAATATGTCATTTTCTTCTAGTATGCGTGGTGATCTTGCCTGATGCAAATGTAAGATGTGGCCTTTCATTCTTGCAAACACTCCTGCAGTTTTAACATTTGAGTTTTTAAGTTCTCTAGAATGTTGAATTCACACTTTATCTCTTGTTTGCATCATTATCACTCTAGAATACTGATGGAGCAAGACCATGTATTGAAGCTGTTCTGCAGGCTGTTGCGTTTGAGAGCAGTTTATGGTGTACTGCTGGGGCTTTAGCGCTCCAGGAGACCAGGAGCTGATCCTAAGGTCGCTCGCCATGGTCAATTAATCATCTTATATAGAGCGGAGGTGCTGGTGGTGGTCGCTTGTAGTGTTTGGTGGCGCGCTTTAGCTAATCCTTTGCTAGGCGTGTGTGTGCTGGGTTGGGGAGAAGGCATTCTGCCTCTCTCCCTTGTTTTTCTCTTTTCTTCTTAATGAAATGACATGCAGCTCTCCTCATGTAGTTCGAGATTTTTTTTAAAACATGGTTTTGTATTACAGTATGATTTCAAGTAAGGCTGAGGCAGTTGTACTGCACAATGGACAAAATTATGTAGATCTGAAGTTAGTTGTGCACTATGTTGCTAGTTTTGTTGACTGCACTAGTTGACACACCAACACCATAAAGGACCAAAACTGGTATTGGTTTTATCCTTGTTTGCATGACATGTTGGGAAAACTTCGCTTCAGTGACTGAATTGCAGTTTCTTGTTATTATTGCTGAGAAATTTCTAAAAGGGTTATATCAATTAGTTCTAGGAGGAAAATAACAATTTTTAATGGTTGGGTTACTTTTACTATTGTTGGGTGTTGTATACATTTGGCACTTGGTTCGATTGGATGGCTCTGCCTTTTGTTAAGTTGTTTCGCTTTCTTCAGGTTCTTTGACAGTTCAAGTGGTTGTGTAAATATTATTGATTGTTCCTGTGCACTGTGAGATTTAGCTTCGTGTTAGCTGATGCAAACGCCACCTGTCAGTATTATACTTTTCTGCTTGTAAATTGTATTAACATCAGACATTTCATTTTGGATACAGCAAATTCAGTGATATCTATGATAAAGATCACTTTGTACAACGTCTGCAAAATGATGTTCGAGTAGTTGACAAAATTCCGGATTTTATAATGGAGCGGTTTGGTCATAATCTCAGCAATGTGTTCAATTTCAAGATAAAGGCTTGGGCACACATTCAATATTACAAAGATGTTCTTCCAAAATTAGTTGAAGAAAGGTGAGTTTATATACAGTTCAGTTACTACTTGAATCTTCTGTTATCTTGGCATACAAAAAAATTCCCCCCGCTGGCTACCCTAAAAATAGTGGCAGGGTGCGGACTTGTGGCACCTTTGGTTTGGGTAGTTGCAGTGGTTGGCTCTCATTGGGTTTGGGTATGACCCAGGTTACGATGCAGCCCCATAGGGTGAAGCCGGGGTTCGGTAGTTTTATCGGTTGGTTGGACTTACGTTCTTTCTCGGAGTAAAAACCGTGGGGGTGGTCTTCCCCATCAGTTGCTTATATTCCATATGATTTAACTGGAGTACTAATTCAAATGTTATAGCTTTATTAATTGGTAACACAACCTCTGTATCTGATTACTATCATTTACTGTAGAATAGAGAGCACTTCTAGTATGTTGGATATGAATTTGATATTAAACTTGACATGGGAATCTGTAAAACATATATGACATATTTATAACCACTACAACCTTTTTATTGGACTTGCTATAATATTGATATATAGTTAACGAGGGATATCCTATATTAAAAATCATTAGTGGTGTTTGGAGCATCTCTTCAACTTTATCCTCTTAAATTTATTCTAGAAGGATACTACCTCTTTATTCCTGAAACTTATCTGCAGCAACCATTTCCTCTGACTCGGTCAATTCTTTCATTCTTTGCCATCAAAAGTTTCTGTGACCTGTTGCTTGTGGAAGCTGACTTTCGAGGACTACTAAATTGTTGACACTCCCTTTAATGATGGAATTAGGTGTGAAATCATTTCCCTGTTTACAAGGGCACTACTATTTAGCTAGGAGTTTCTATTTTGTTAAGTATCATAAAGTGTTCAATTCAATTATAATGCATTTCTTTCTGATGCTATGCTCTTTAGTGCAGATTCATCAGGATTTCTCCTTTTGCCAACCGACTCTCGTTTGATGCACCTTCTGCTGTTCAACGGTTGAGATGCTTGGCAAACTTTGAAACCTTAGAATTCTCTAAACCAATTGTGTCTTTGTCTGAAACCTTAGTGCATCTTCGTTTTGAGAAGGTTGGATCTCTTTCATAAAATTCAATGCTTATATGTTTGGGAACCAAGGATCCACCATTATGTATTTGACTCTTGTGCGTAATATGCTGCCAGTGTTCTGAAGTAAGTGTGGCATCTGCTAATTGTCATCTTGCAGGATATGATTGCCTTCTCATGTTGTGTATATGATGGTGGTGATGAGGAGAAGGAAATGGATGCAGCCAGAGAAATAGGTTGGAGAGGGAAATTTACTAAGAGAGGACCGGGTAATAAGACCAGGAGTGATCAGAATGAATGGAAAATGTCCTCTTACACCTTTGGAGGTATGTCAGTATCTAATATCAGAAGGTAGAACAATTGCTGTTATTGACATTTCAGAAATTTGCTCTCAAGCACATTTTGCTGGTCCATGCTTTGTTCATTTTCTTTTATTCAGTTTAAAACAAATTCATTCAGTATCAGGCAGAATTTGTCTTGAGAAGCTTATCTTATGATGTTTAGATTGGGTTAATGCTTCGTGGAATGGGTTTCAGCAATAAGACTGCAATCTTTTTGGCATCTGGAAAGATTTACAGAGCAGAGAAGAACATGGCTTCTCTTCTTGAAATGTTTCCTCTCCTACAGACAAGAGACACTAGCATCAGAAGAGGAACTTGCTCCATTCAAGGTAGGAACTGCAGGGTTGGCTACATTTTTTTGTTCTGTACTTCCATACGTTGTTTGTTCTGAAACGACTCATTATTGCCAGAATTTCTCCTCAAGGATGGCTGCTGTTGACTATAGCATTTGTGCCCAAAGTGAAGTTTTTGTGACCACACAATGGAAATTTCCTGCATTTCCTTATGGGTCACAGGAGATACTTGTATGGTGGGCATTCAAAAACAATTAAACCAGACAAAAGAAGGCTTGCCGTACTCTTTGATAATCCACGTATAGGGTATGATAACACTATTTGCCCATAGTGATGTTTTGGTTTATACACTTGACCATCTTGTTTGTTAAAATCATAATTTTCATTTATGTGCAGGTGGAAGGCATTGAAGCGGCACTTGCTTAATATGAGAGCACACAGCGATGCCAAGGGGATTGAAGTGAAAAGACCAAACGAATCCATATATACCTTTCCATGCCCTGACTGCATGTGCCGCTTGAACAGAACAGAACAGAACACTCGAAATCCAAACACAGTAGATAGTATCTCGTAGTTGCATTTCCAGACTAACCCTATTCTTTCTGACATCCAGTTTAGTTTGTTCATTCTTCATTTGCTGTGCGGCTTTTCATTACTTCATCTGCAAGCATACTTGCCAGTTGCCACAGCATTAAAAGCAATCTATTCTCCCTATGTAGCGGTTTTTCCTTGTATAGCATATGCCAGCATGGAAACCCCAGATTCCTCCGTGGAGTATTAGACCAATTGTGATGCTAACTATACATCAACTGACTACAATCCTCAACAACAGATCTGACTCCAGTAGGATACTATCCATTGTCAATGAAGTATCAAATGGTTTTGGGTAGTATTGCTGTTGTACATGGTTCATTAGCAGTCTGTCATCATGTACAAATTTTGAATGGAAGACAGGCATTGTAAAAAAAAATCTCATCTTGCCCAAAAAATTGGCAGTGTTGCAATAGTCTCCCTGTATTCTTTTAGCTAGGCCTTCGCAGTTGTAACTGTCTCTGACACTTCTATTCACAATTCTAACAATGGAAACTGCCTAGTGGAACTTGATTCTTGCTTCATCAGTCTAGAGGCAGGGTATTTGCTTATTTGCAATAATGTGTTCAGAAGCTGCTTTTGGTGAGTTTAATTGTCATTATCCGATGGTCGGGCATCTGAGAGTGAGCTTAAGGCCGCGTTTAGTTGCCTGCGGAATCGGCGCCGCGCCGATTCCCTGTAGCACTGTAGCACACTGTAGCGTTTTGTTTTTATTTGGTAATAATTGTCTAATCGTTGATTAATTAGGCTCAAAACGTTCGTCTCGCAAAGTACAACTAAACTGTGCAATTATTTTTTGATTTCGTCAACATTTAGTACTTCATACATGTACCGCAAGTTTGATGTGACGGGGAATCTTCTTTTTGTATAGTGCCAAATTCTGGAATTTGGATGAACTAAACGTGGCCTAAGGTAAGATCCGTCGTGCCTAGGGATGGCAATCCTACTTGCCGATGTGGATACCCATGGGCGTGGGTGTTGGTACAAAATTTCACTCGTGGGTATAAACTATGGATATAAGATTCTACCCATTGGTCTATTTGCTGATGTATTGTTTCACATGTTAGCACTTAAAATTAAATGATTTCATCTATTCTAGTTATAATCTAACTCGCTGATGTGGGTGCCCACAGGTATCATATCCAACATAGGCGGGTACAAATAGGGGTGCAGTTATGAAAAAATTCCTGTTCCTTTGAACTTATTAGCCATATTACGGCGTTTTTCCTCCAACAACAAATCAGCTTAAGCCGGCTTATCCGCCGTAGAAATCATCAGCTGAACAGGGCCATATCTGTTACATAATTCGTCACGGATAGGTAATTACTCCACCCACATCTTACTTGAAATAGCCTATATGCAAACATCATTGGTGGTCCGGTGGATCTGGAATCTGTAACGGAGGCAACACCTTTCACTTGGTGGAATGAAGATAAGGAGTTCAGGTCAGATAAATAAAAATCTTGGTTTGAAATTTGGCAGATATAGAGTTAATGTAGTTGCTACCTCTTTCTATTCAGCCTGGCTAAGTTGCGCGGTTGATAGATTTCTCGGGGCAAATGTGGCATAGGGGCTTGACCGCTTGAGCCCCTGCCCCACCCACTATTATAGGAAGCATGGAGTCCCTCCTAAACTCTCACTACAAATTTATAGTCAATTATTTAAGCTTAGAAAGGGATAAACATAGAAAATAAGGAGGAAGAGTCCTTTCTATTATTTCTTATTGTCATCTTAAGATGATTCAACAGTTAACAAGGTTAAACATTACAATATTTCTGTCGGTGCAGAAAGTGACAAACTAGTAAATATTTGTAGTTTTGTCGTACGTTGTGATCGGAGATGGCCTAGCACTCAATGACACAGGGTTTATACTGGTTCAGGCAACGTGCCATACGTCCAGTTTGAGTCGGTCGGTGACTTTATTCCTGAGCCCAGGTGCTCGAAGTTTGCTGTGGGGTTATAAACGAGAAGGAGAAAGATGGGGTGTACAAGAGGTCCGGTCGACTCCGGTTAGAAGGGCCGAGAGCGACAGGAGCTCCGCTATGAGCTAAGTGTTCAAGCGTGTGCTTGGGGTTCGAACCTAGCGGTTCTGTGGTTGTGAGCTAGTGAACTTGGTTGATCTAATAAATCTGGGATGACTTGTATGATCTTGAATCCACCGAAGAGAACTATCCTACGTTGGAGGGGGCATATCCCCTTTTATAGATGAAGGGGATGGCCTTACAAGTGAGAGGGAGAGAGTACGTTCGCTGGTAAGTCTTGCTGCCCACGCTGGCGGGTACAAGATGATTGTAGGCGCCCACAACACTGTTGATGTCACTGTAGAATGTCAGATGCAGGTGAGAGGTTACGTCGTCTTGTTCCGGTATGGCAGATGTCGGTATCTGCTATACTGTTGATGCCCAGAGGCATGTGAGAGGTTTTCACCATGTTCACTCGGTACGGTAATTCCGGCGTCCACAACACTGTTGATGCCCAGAGGCATGCAGGGGGGGCTTACCGTATGGGAGTTAATGGCGCCCACAATACTGTAGAGGGAAATGTCGGCGCCTACAATACTGTTTGTGTTAGGGCGGTTGTGGAGTACTGTTCCATGCAGGGTATGGTCCCTGGTACCATGGTTTGACTTGTGAGCCTTGCCTCGCTTTTCTCCGCACGTCTCCTGGTCCCTACCGAGCGGGCGTCCCTGATCGGTTGATCCCAGTTGGCTCTGATCGTGCCAGTAGGAGAAGAGCGGTGAGTAGGGGCTGAGCGTATCCCTGGTCGGAGAGTGCGGGGTCGGAGTCGGAAGTAGTGTTTGGGCAAGGCCTTCCGATCGGAGAGTCCGTCCGGAGGCGGCTGGAGTCCAAAGTGAGTGCTCCGGTCGGAGAGGTGGGCCGAAGTAGTCGACGAGCGGGCGTTGTTTCTTCTTGGCCAGACCTTCCGGTCGGTGACTGGACCGCCCTTCTGGCATGTTGTTTGAGACTCTTGGGCCGGCCCATGAGTTACGTGCTGTCTGCTTGGGCCGAGCCTTGGCGTGGAAGCCGGTCCTGAGGGACCCCGGGTTTATGAACCCTATAGGAGCCCCCGAGCCCCCGGGCGATTCGGACATAATCATCCGGGGGATTTTTGTCTTGCTGGCGGGTGCGTGCGAGCGCACCCGCGGGTGTAGCCCCTGAGCCCCCAGGTGATTCGGGCAGAACCGTCTGGGGGGGTTTCTGTGTTGTCAGTGGGGGAGGTTTCCATTTCGTTGGCGGGTGCGCGCGAGCGCACCTGCGGGTGTAGCCCCTGAGCCCCCGGGCGGTTCGGGCAGAACCGTCTGGGGGATGTTCATTAGCGGGCGTGTGTGCGTGTTTTTTCGGTCGAGGCGGAGTTGTCAACCAGGGCGTCGTTGCGCAATCGTGGTGTTTAGTCATTTTTGGGCGAGATGGAGCTTGCGGATCCTGGCGTCGATGCGCGCTGTGGGATCGGGTGAGGCAGTTAGTTTAGTTAGTTTGGGATTGGGCGAGCCGGAGCTCGTAGATCCTGATGGGGCGAGATCGGGGTCGCAGACCCAGTTGTTTGGAGCGCAGTCGGAGCGTAGCTGGATGGGGCGAGATTGGGGTCGCAGACCCAGGTAGTTTTTGGAGCACAGTTGGAAGGGGCGAGTTCGGGGTCACAGACCTAGGCTTTTTGTGTCTTGAGCCCCCGAGCCTTATTGGGCCTTGGTAGGGGTCGGTGTGAGTTGTGTGCGTTACCCCATCCTTGGTTCCTCACAACCGGAGGGGCTGGGTTTTGTCGCTTGTCCCGATCGCTCAGGCTCGAGTGATGCGCTTGGTGAGTTCGCTAACGGGTATGATCGAGCAAAATCTAGGTCCGTCATTCATGACGGGGTCGGCATAGACCTCTTGTGACATTCCACTGCTCCTTTACCTGCAACCCGGCAGATGCCTGGGTCGTTCCGGAGACCGACCCGGGTGGCCTAACGGCCTCCCCTCGATGGAGATTCTGTGGGCTTGGCGAGAGGTTCAGGATCGAACGAGAAGGTTAAAATGACCCGGTCTGCCAGATTGGGCGAGGGCCACACGGGGCTCATCTGCGTTTTTCTCCCTTGGCTTTGTCGTTGCTCATGTTGAATGAGGCAACTACCATTTCGTGACGCAACACGGAACATTGTGGTGCATTTCGCTGTACGTGCGATGCTTAGTTCCTGAGCCCCCGGGCGGTTCAGGGCCCGAATCGTCCGGGAGGCATGGGCGTATGGAATGAATGCGTGTATGGATGTATGAAATGATTTATAAAGAAAATAGAAGGGGGTCGGTAGTGTTACCTTGATGACTTGAGTGATGAGGTTTGGAGAGCTCCAGTCAGAAATGTCCGACCGAGACCCGTGCTCGTCGTTCGTGACGGAGTCGGCATGGCTTGTATGGGGCATCCCTTTGCTCCTTACCTATCTCTCGGTGTTTTATCCTGAGCGATTCGATCAACTCAAGAGGCCCGATGGTCTCTCCGGTGGAGATCCCATTTTTGGGTTTTCCAAGTCTGGCCTGGGGAAGCGGAGAGCCGCCTTCGTGCGGTGGCACTTTGGTTCTTGTGCCCGGCATGCGGTAGTGGTTGGTCGTGCGGTAGTGGTGGGCCATGCCTAGGCCACGTTCCGTCTGATCAGGAGCCATTCCATCAGGCAGGGCACGTATCATCGGTCAGGGCGCGTCTCATCTGCATTAAATGGGAAAGAGAGGGTTTTTTCACTCCGCCGTTTCATCTTCCCCGATCGGCGCGCCCTTCCCTAACCGTTGTACCTTTTTCCTTAAGTAGGAGAAGGGGAAGGTTTTTCGCCCTATTTTTTCGCCTGCCACCTTCTTCCCTTTTCCTTCTTGCCGAGAGCGTTCTTGAGAGCCGTGGTGGTTTCTATGAAAGAAAAGGGAGAGAGCGAGGGAGAGGAGAAAAACTCACAAATTCTTTTGCGATCCCGGAGCGCAATGTCAGACTAGAGGTCGTCCACCGTGAGGGAGTCGATGTTGAAAT